ATACCGCTGTGCCACTGGGGGGGGGGGCAACCTAGAATGTACCCTTAGGATCTGACCCCTATGTTATTTATCCCTTTGTGCGTTAAACAATACGTCAGCTAGTACCTAATAAAATAATTGGTTATATTAGTACCTAATAAAATAATTAGTTGTATTAATATTTGACAACACAAGAGAATTACTGTAATCTACTCTATGATAGTTAGACAGATTATCTCAGTTTTCATTGGATATATACCTGTATTATCTCCAGGTTGAAATAAAACACTTTTGTTTCCAACTCTTAAAACAATAGAACCATGGGCGCGGGGTGGATCCATAAAATATTTCCCTCTTGTCACTACTTCAAAATTAGGAACGGCAACAGACAGCCTTAGCAGTTTTAGCATAAATACAAAATACAAATATTTTTAGGAACTGTATAAGCAAGCTTAAACAATTCTCCACAAGGCGACAAGCATTTTACATCTAATTACACTTTCAAGTCACTCAGCCTAATAACAGATGTTGTTGTGCATTTTGCACACACACATTTGTTTAAGGATTAAATTTTGGTTGAACTATTAAGCTGTGTTATCCTACCCTGTGTCTCAGGTTATAAGTAAGGATAAGATTTCTGGCGAAAGAGTTGGCGAAGGCGTGGTAGAAGTTGAGGACCTCCAGAAGTTTGTCCCTCTTAATAGCGTGGAGGTCGCAGTATGTAAGGGCTCGAACGTTAGCGCATGACTGGCCAATGGTAGGTTCTTTCCAGAAAACGTCCCCAAAGACATCACCTTTACCTACAACATGGGATGAAGAAGAATACAATTAACTATAGTTGTGAAAATTATAGGAACAGTCACACGTCATATTTATAAAAGCAGTCACACGTTATATTTATTAAAACAGTCACACGTCATATTTAGTCACATGCCATGACCCATTTTGCTTAAGTTTGAACTTTTATCTTTAGTGTATTAACAACAATGAAAGTTCTCTAAACAACTGGTTTACGCGAAAAATTTAATAGTATTATTCAACATTCTGAAAAAAAAACAAATATTATAAGTTTAGATATTTTAACGATTTTGATATGAGCATATTACTGTTATCAATATGAATGCTAATATCAAATGTTTAATTTTTGAAATAATTTAACTTAATTTAACATAAACTACACTAATGCTTGTTTGTTTGTTTTTTGAATTTCGCGCAAAGCTACACAAGGGCTATCTGCGCTAGCCGTCCCTAATTTAGCAGTGTAAGACTAGAGAGAAGGCAGCTAGTCATCACCACCCACCGCCAGCTCTTGGGCTACTATTTTACCGACGAATGGTGGGATTGACCGGAACATTATAACGCCCCCACGGCTGAAAGGGCTAGTATGTTTGGTGTGACGGGGATTCAAACCCGCGACCCTATACTAATGCTATTAAAATATCACTACTTCAAGGTTACGGTTAAGTAAGCATTTTTTATGTAATAAGAAATAACGAGTTGAAGAAACTTTTTTGATCTTTGTTTTTTCCTCATCTCAGTACATCCTGTATAGAAGATGTCCATTAGCGTACTTGTGCGATACTATAGATAAATGATTTTTTTTCTTGAGATGAATTTGGCCGAAAGAGCGTTCATTAATAATCCAAAATATTATTAATATTTTTAAGTGGTGGGCATATATATATAAACTACATGGAATAAAGCATATAAATCTGATCATGTTTTCCGTGAATTGTTTCATCATTTCAGAATCTAGAACATTGGTAATTTATTTGTTTGTCGATTTTGATTCGCTTGCCTGTCACTGGAGTGGTAAAATTTGGTTACAAAACTAACTGATATATTTGATTCTTGGAAATCTAAAATTATGAGACAATAGAATAATCTTGTTCTCGTACGTGAAAAGTTCCTTTTGATCAAGTAAAATAAAACGTTCTGCCAAAACTATGGGATATCCACCGAAGGTGCTCATGCTTGGCAGGAGAACTTAAAAGGTAGATTGGTACTCTTCATGACTGTGGGTGCTATGAAAGTGCCGAGACATGCCTCATGTATATCATCATCCCTAAGAATGTTCAGCACCATTTTGATTGATGTAAAAGCTCCGGAACTCCTGGGTAGGGGTATAATGTGACGGATAAGTCCCACTACTCCATGGTAAAGAGTAGGCCAAGAGTTGGCGGTGCGTAGTGTGGCTTACTAGCTGTCTTCCCTCTTAATAGCTAAGGGATGGCTAATGCAGATAGCCAAGGGGAAAAGTGCTCGAAATTCAACAAAGAAACAAGCACAATAACTTTGTGGAATGATGAAAGTTTCTTTGATTAAGCAATCATTTCAAACGTCTTATCTGTCTCCATATATGCAATCATTTCAAACAATCATTTCAAACTTCTTATCCTTCTTATCTCTCTCCATATATGGCAATCATTTCAAACGTCTTATCTGTCTCCATATATGCAATCATTTCAAAATATATGGAGACAGATAAGAAGTTTGAAATGATTGCATAGATGGAGAGAGATAGGTGAACAATTCGACCGAGGTTGTCTTGTGCAAACTATGTAGAACTGAAACTGGGGCATTGTGTCGTGAGTTTAGTATTGTGCATTGGGTGTGGGACCTATCTGTGACCCAAGGAGAACTTAAGTTAATACTTTACAAGAGCCATTGCAAAGTTGTTTGGTCAGCAGTTAATACGTTGTAGTAGTTGGATAAAGCTTTCTGTCATAAATTACATATGACCTTTGCCTCGTTTCAAATTAACAACACCAACATCTTAGAATGGCCCACCCTAGTCCTGATCTAAACCTTGTAGAACACATTTAGGAACAACAACAACAAAAAAAAACGATGTATTTGGAAAATTAGACCATAGCCTTTCAACCAGCTTTTAAGGTAATAATGAGGCAAATTTCACAAGTCAAGCTTTAGAAACTAGCTGAAACATGCCTCACAAAATTTCAGCAATTAATCTGGACAGCTGATCTATACTGCATTAGGAGAGGCTTAAACCACGAGTTAAAATGATACATTTTACATTTGGGGAGAAGAAAAACAACCTTACATGAAATAGAGAACTGTATCGATCTCCGGGAAAGATTTTACTCTTAGTTTTTTAAAGCTTGACAGTTTCCATCAAATGATACGAGAACGGTTTCAGTTAAAATCATGAAAATTGTATTGTGGAGTGATTCTAGAACACCAAGTTGATTTTTATTTAGAGAATAAAGAAATCTGCAGAGTTTAATCAAAATCTCTATCAAACTGCTGTCAGGTAAGTGAATAAAAAGTAAATAATACCCTAAATGGTAAATGGTAATTACGTAATTGTTCAGTAAATTCGATACTGGAAATATTTAAAATCATATAATATGATGTAACATAAAAAGTATAAAAATATTTCAATAAAATGTTTTATTTTATAAGAATGAGGAATGAATTTTCAAATAAAATTCAACAAAATTATTGAAATAATTCCACGTTCAGGTTTTTTTTTTAAACAGACAAAAAAAAAAACGCACTAAAAGACTATTAAGTGATGAGCTATAAAAAGTATGTGTAAACATAACCATAATGAGGAACTTTTAATCACTTCGCTTGCTCCCTCTGGAGGTGTAACGTAGAATTTATAGGGGTATTAAAGAGCAAAAAAATGCACTGCAGAATTCGAGCACTGGGTAACATTCGATATTGTACACACTTTCCTATAAATTAATAAAAGCAAACACACTCATCGTTTTTTCAGATCTAACTGTCACCTAACCTGCAGTTGTACTGATAGCATAAGAAAAATCATCAACACTGATGATATATATATATACTATAATCTGAATTAAACTCTAATTCATTCACTTCGAAGCTCTAAACAAAATAAATAATTATCCTTATATATTTTAGCTTCTGTTATTTGTTTTTATTAATGATAACCAGAAAAACAGCTCTTTCGAAAGTAAGATACAACCTGTATCTTCATTGTAAACATAATGGTAGTCAGTTTCTTAAAAATTACAAGCTAGAATGCTACGAAGTTGTAAGTGAGCTTTTAAGTTTTGGATGCATATTTAAAAAAAATGTTAATCAGACCTTGGCATTTGCATTATATACATATATTCAGGTGAGTCCATGTTTCGACTTTTGGCTAGTTTCGATATACAAGTACAATTATTTAAAATGAATAATTTTAGTTTACATTTCTCCAAAATCCTTATATTAAGTTGCCTCAGTCTTGAGCAAACGGTTAAAAAAACACACACACAAAAAACTCATTCTACTTGTATAGTAACAGTCTCATATTTTTCAAAGAAAGATTACAGACTGTTTTGAAGTTAACAAACTGGCTATAATTTGTGTACGTACTTCAATATAGAACTCAGAGCGCATAGCTTTGATACAAATCGTTAACATAGATTCTAAAAAAAAAAAAAGTGCATAAAGCGTAGAGAAACAAACACCTTACTGTGTGGAGATAAAATGGAGTAACCAGAAGCTTGCAATGCGAGGATGTAAGTTAAGATAAAGACTAGTGTTTGCTTGCACATCGTGTGCTTCTTCTTCTAGTGGAGTTTTTATCTTTTTCCTGACAATGAAGATTGATGACAACTTTATGAAGTCGCCCTTATAGATGTTGGCTGCGTCGTGTTGGAGCGCGTGCTTGTCAAGTGCTTTATGCAGTAAATTTTCATTGCCAGCGTAGGCAGATTCTTCGAACCGATATCTTACACTGATCTTGAAGGAAGTTTGTTTGTCGTTACTGTCTATTTTGGAACTTACTACCACAAAAACTTTATTTGCGCTGGAATAACCTTGACAGTTGTTCTCAGATCAACTATAGTATAATTATAGATATACTGCAAACGTTTGAGGCTGGTGTCTTGACACCACCTATTACATCCTTTGCTGCTAACAACTACATGGTATGGTTGGATGTTGTAGGGTAATATAACATTTTGGTACGTATTGGTAACTTATAGGACGACACGTTTCTACAGTTTATTTACATTTCACAGTAAGGAAATTAGACGTCAGTAGCCATTGTGTCGCTACAGCAACTTTTGCATATATCATCTAAAAGAAGAAACCTGGATTTGAAGGATATTTGTTTGTCTGTCCGTGAAGACCACGAACTGCCTTGCGTACAGAACTTCAATTGATTTCTTCATGAAGTCATTGATGTCCAAGTGTCTTGCAACGCTATTCTTACCAAGTTATGATCGTATTTCAAATACTGTAATATCTTTTAACACTAGCTTATGATTGGATCGAGTAATTTTAGTAACTCAAATATCATAGAAACATATGAGTGTCTTCAGGCTAGAGAGAAAAAAACCAACAAACTCGTGACAACTTTTTGTTTCTCGTAATACACATTTCAAACTCCTAGCTGGCTGATGCTACACAACAGAAATATAATAAATTTTGTAGGTTAATTTTAACTTATTGTAATTCCTTTCTTGTTAGGAATTTTCAATGATGGCTTACGTATTTGTGAGCTAACACATGAAAACCTCCACGTAGTTGTGAGACGTTTTCATCCTAGTCACCTGCTCTATAAAACCTGACTTTTGTTGAAAAATAATTGCTGACCTAAGTTTAAAAAAAGAAACAAGAAAAATTTCAAACTCTTTCTCACCTAAAATAGCTACAACTTCGTCATCTTGTATGACCTCTAACGACCCTGACACAACAAAGCTAAGCGTGTCGATGCTTTCACCAGTGTGGTAAAGAAGGTCACCTGGAGCACTGTGATCCATGGTGAAGTACATAGCGAGTGCACGTAGACAGCCATCACTGGCTAGACGAAAAGCAGGGTGTTCGTTAAACACCTTTCGGTTTAGATGGACACAAATATCCGCGGTCATATCTTTTGGACAGTAACTTAGCACCTAAAAAAACGTTATTTTTTGAGTAAGTGAAACTGTTATCTTTTCCATTTCCAGTGCATATTTTAGTCAAGATGTATGGTATTATACGTTCGTTAAGTCATTAGTAAATGTTATTAAGAGGCTGGAATTTCATAACACGGTTTCCCAACTTTTTACACATGTGGACAGAAATAAATTTTATAAATTATTTTAAAAAATACAATTAAAAGTATACATTACACGTAACACTTAACACGGTTTTCAGATTGCTGTTTGGTTAGTTTACTATGTAGATAACACGATAATCAAGGTTTTTACTTTTCACTACTAGTGTTTCGTTAAAATGTTAGTCACAGAACTTAACTAATTTCCACGAGTCATTTAGGCTTAAATTGCATTCTTTTGTTCTAAATAAGAGTCAGTGTGCTTCTCGAGTATCAAGGACGTTTACCTTGCGATTTTTGGAATGTATACCGGGCACACGCACACTACACTGCTGTTAGTAGTAAACAATCATTATTGACAAGGTTTTTTACCTTTTTTATGTCAATTCCTTTGCTCATGACCCATGTAGAGACTACATAGTCCATAACTCGCTCGCTTAAAGCTTTTGGAACTTCGTGCAACTTCATAAACTCACGGACGTTGTTTAGCATGTCATGGTAACGTGCTGTTGCTGATGTCATCTGTTGAATGATGGTCGTCACATGGCCAAAGATTGTGGCGTATAGAAGAGCTATAAGTACACATTTATGTTAAAACATGTTTAAATATGAATACATATTTATTTTGTACAACCATATAGTAAAGAAAAACAAAAAACTAAGAAAAAAGCTCACGTAGGATCTCATAATAAAATATGAAATTTTTTTATGATGAGATGTTTTTGGCTTTGATGCCCTTTGGTGCCACGCTACGTAAGTAGTTTCAAACAGTTTTGTAAATATGCTGTTTGGGAAATATAATGTTTGCTTTTTTTACAGTGGTCTTTTACGAGAATTTGGGAAAATATCTTCCTTTGTTGGTGTTATATTATTGCTTATTCGTTTCATGTGTGTTTCTTTAAATCGAATAGTTTATTTCTGGCCTTTCTTTATAGAACTACATACAGAAATCGACTAGTGCCTGGAGAAGAATCTGCTTTAGTAATTGATAAGCAATCATCCAAGCAGTTTTGAGATATTACCTTTAAGTTTTCAAATGCAACGTTCGGTTCGAAGCAGTTGCTCCAATGTGTATATCATTGCAAACGTAGGTCCAAAGTTTTTATTTTCTCCCTAAAATTAAATTTTGTTCAGCTCTTCAAGCCAGTCGACTGCCTGGTATTTCACTTACTGCTTATTGGCTGTGACGTTGGGAATCGAATGAACGTGTTTTTTTTAACAGATTATTGTTTCTTCCGAAAAGTTATGCGTTATAGGATCGAAGAATTATTCATTAAATGCAATCACACTAAGACTACTGTATGGGATATGTGTGTCTCTAATTATCAATGTGCACAGTGTGTTACGTGTTTCCTTCTTTGCTTTCTTTTGTGCCAACAGCGGGAATCGCACCTTATATTCTAGCCCTCAAGCTTAGCGTTGAGCCACTAGGAGACATTATTTGTTATTCCTAATATGAAATAGTATTTTGAAAGCAGAAGCTTTGAACAGAGGTTGAGGATAAAAAAATCTTGAGAGACTGAATTGCAATTATTAATTCTATTCTGTTAGTTATAGAAATGTTTCAGAAATACATGTTGAATTACTGAATTTATTGAATCTCAAAAACAAGCCAGGTCCTGGACTAATCTGTAATTTACGTGCTTTGGTTATCGAAAACTTTATACTGCAAATTGTAGTCCTCTTATACAAACCAACTTCCCACATATATTGTACATAACTGGCATTGTAATTTAAGTAAAACTTTACACCGAATATTAATTCTAACCAGAATCAGTCTTTTTGACCTGGATAATGGTTTCGGATGCTTTAAAAATCCTTCTAGCATACTCTACTAATTTTTATGTAAATCGCTATACAAATTGATAAAAAATATTTCAAAGTTACCAGGATAACAACACCACTTTACTATGTCTAAATCTTTACGAAAAAACAAACAAACTTACAAACTAGTTACTACACAAGATTTGAATGATAACAATCAGAATAACAACTTAACTTTATTGTGTTTAAACCCTTACGAAAAAAAACCCAAATAAACAAACTTACATACTGGTTACTACTCACGATTTTAATGATAACAATCAGGATAACAACATAACTTTATTGTGTCCAAATCTTTACGGAAAAACGAACTAACAAACTAGTTACTACACAAGATTTGAATGATAACAATATAGTAATTTATCATGATTACAAATGATCGATATATGGGTATAAGTAAATAAAATGGAACGTTTATAAGTACACAGTTAAAACAACTTTAGTTAGCTTCCATTTTAAAAACAATTCTGCATCTTTCGACCCTTCGTCATCCTCGGGAGTAATTTGCAAGAATGACGTCGTTATAGATCATAATTTTATGTTTATGTTTGCAAAGCTTTGAAGATAGGCATTAAGGAAGAAGCTTTAATTAAACGTGTAGCAATTGGAAGAGGATTTAATCCAAATATTGTTGACAGAGTTTTTAATAAATTTAGTAATAGTTCAATTACTTCCAAAAATATTAAACTAGCATATTTTTACGAGAAAAAAAAAAAAAGCTTTATTCTTGCCTTATATTCCAGGATTAACTAGTCAATTATTAAATTCGTTTAAGAAACAACTCACATATTAATATATCTTCAAACTCATTAATAAGAATAATTAAATTTTAGGTAATACCAAATATACAATATATTTGCATAATAAAAACTGGGATTTACAAAATAGAATGTGAATGTGATGGTATGTATAACAATCAAACTACAAAGAACTCAAAGTAAACATTACGTGAACATAGAGGTTGCTTAAGAAATAATAGAATTGAAAGTTCAGCTATAGCAGACAAATAATACAATACACAATCCTATGGGATAAAATGATAAATCTAGTTCAACCTAACAGTTGCTAATAACGCTCTGAATTTTTAGAAAGGTCGGTTAGCAAGTTATGTAAGTAGTGTAGAACGTTATATCACATGACAAGATGACGACGTATAAACGTCGTAACATACTGAGTGGTCTTTATATGGACGCCATTAACGGCATCAGTAGTGTTTTAGTTGTGAATTGATAAACGTTCCATTTTATTTATTCATTTGATAAGAGTCATCTGTTGTTGGGTAAGAAGCTATTTAACAATTTTTGCAATGTCTAATAAACTGTAATAGCAACATAAATGTTTTCGAAGTCTAAGGTTGGGATGATTTAATACACCGTACTTTTCTTTACTAATGAGTTGGTTCTCATTCAGAGGTCTGAAATAGGCGGGTGAGGTGTGAAACTTATCATGGCCTAAAGCTCGTTTGTTTGTAATTAAGCACAAAGCTACACAATGGGCTATCTGTGCTCTGCCCACCACGGGTATCGAAACCCGGATTCTAGCGTTGTAAGTCCGCAGACATACCGCTGTGCCACTGGGGGGCCGTTTTAGGTGTATGGGAATATTAATGTTTCTCTGCTATTCAGAGAGATGCTGCTTTGTTACTTATGTTTTACTTTTTAATACGTTGTATACAATTTTATGTGTCATACTTGGGTGATAAAAATAAACTATGAGTTCCCAAAGAAAGGGTAAGATTTAGTGATATAACCTTTAGCATTATCATTCGAAAAATTACTTATAGATTCAACAAACACTGATTTTCCTAATTTAACTCAAATGAAGGAATTGTAATGTAATTTTCTGAACAAAAAACTATTTATTTTTTTTATATACGGGGACATTTTCTCCCTCTT